TCAGTAAGCTTTTGAGGAAAACAGAAGTGGGGTAGTCCCTACTCATATCTCCTCTTACCTCTTTGGGGAAGAGGAACGGATGAGATTGGGCGAATGAGGTTGGGCGGAGTGGAGCTGGGAGGGACTGAGACTGAGGTGGGGAAGAGTGGGTAGGAGGAGGGGTGGGGTTTGTGCAGAAGGAAGTGTGGTATATCTGGACATTTTGTTGGGAGAGATCCGGATACTGCTGCTTGAATGCAGGCCAGTTGTCTTCACCTTTCTGGACCTCAGTTCCCTTATCTGTAAAATGGCCAGATTTGTCTCAGAGCTCCAAGAATCCATGGGTTCCTGGATCCTTTGGCTCATAAGCATTTTGGGTGATATATTCCCCTGGGTGGCGAAATTACAGTGGTTAGGAGGGGCGCTCTGGAGTCAGATTGCTTAAGTTTTATAGCTTTAATAGCTGTGTGGTCTTGGGAAAGTTATTTAACCCCCAAGCCTCCATTTCCCCAGGTGTGAACTAAGGCTAGCCATCCTAGCAATGGTACAGGTGTGGTGGAATCGTAGTTCACGTGGGGGGAAGGTGAGACCCACACAGAAACAAAATGACTTCTAAAACGCTCACCCCTCGTGAAGCCCACAGAAGCTTGTAATCACCAGACGGAACATGGTGTTGCTCAGGAAAAGAGACTTGAGAGGAAGGGCAGGAAGAATCACCCACGCAGTTTAAATTAATTGTCCCCTTATTTTTTCTGAGATTTTGGTTGCATTACCTAATTAGATGCACATAGTAAGTGTAAGTAAGCGGTGGCTGTTTGCATGATTTTGTTGGCGAAGCATCTAGCAGAGTGCTCATGTCTAGGCAGCTGTACAGCGCGTTCTTCCCGTGACCTGTAAGAAAAAAAAACTCAAGCATCTTTGTTGTTTGCCAGAATGAAAAAGCGCTTCTGTGTAGACAGTTTATTTTTCAGGGCTCAGCTTTTTCTCGCGTATGTTACCAAGGATTGATATGACATTATTTCCTGAGTTGAATGAAAACTAATGGTTTTTTTATTTTTTAAGGATTTATTTATTTTGAGAGAGAGAGAGAGAGAGAGAGAGAGAGAGAGCAAGCGGGCAGGGCAGGGGGTGGGGGGGCTGGGGGGGGTGGGGTTGGTGGACAACAAGAATGTCCCAAGCAGGCTCTGCGCTGTCAGCCGAGCCTGACTGGGGTCTTCATCTCAAGATATGCGAGATCATGACTTGAGCCAAAATCGAGAGTCGGACACTTAACCGACTGAGCTACCCAGGTGCCCCTGAAAGGTAAACATAAAGTACACACAAGACGAACGGATTAAAAGCACAACTCCGGGGTCAAATGGTATGGTAAAAATTGAAATTTGGTGAGAGGTTAGACCAGATCTGTCACAGCATACACGTTTAAAAAAAAAAAAAAATCTACAGCCAAGAAATTTTACCCAAAGGGGATTCTAATTTTTAACTTTAAAAAAAATTATTTATTTATTTAATTTAAAAAAAAAATTTTTTTTTTAACGTTTTTATTTATTTTTGAGACCGGGAGAGACAGAGCATGAACAGGGGAGGGTCAGAGAGAGGGAGACACAGAATCTGAAACAGGCTCCAGGCTCTGAGCTGTCAGCACAGAGCCCAACATGGGGCTCAAACTCACAACCCCGAAATCAAGAGTCACATTCTCTCCCAACAGAGCCAGCCAGGCGTGCCTGATTACTAATTTTTGAAAAGCTTGCTTTTTTATGATTGTCCGGTAAAATTCTGGTGGCACTCCTTTGGTGCTTTACAGACTTCTTTTCAAAACTTCACTGAACCATCATTTACACTCAAGCACACCCCCTTTGAGTGTGCAGTTTGATGAGCTGACAGATGTATAGACCCAAAGGCAGTGTTTAGACCTAAGGCTAACCTAAAGCAATTTATCAGTCTCTGAGAGCAAAGATCTGAGAGAGGACAATGGTCTCCTTTTTAATTTAAAAGCAGTGTGGGAAAAGGAATATTACTTTGCTTTGCAAGGCAATGCTGAAAATGTACCAGTAATTAGGATGATGTTTGTGTGGAAAAGGTGGCTGGTAGTTTAAAATGGAGATGAATCACAGACCCTAAGGCATCTGGGGCTCAAGCCCTGGTAGTGGCCACACCATTTGTATGACCTACGGCACATGAGCCTGAGTTGGATTTTCTCAGGTGTCTCTCCTCTGAATTGGGGGTGAGGGTAGTGCCTACTCTAAAACATGGCTGTCAGGCTGAGGACAGTGCCTGGAAAATACTAAATGCTTGATAGATCCTAATTATTAGACCTGTGTTAGCACAGTGAGTAGGCTTCCATCCCTTTGAGAAAGCTCTTTTCTCTAGGGTAGTAGTTTGCAAGTTTTTCGGTCTCAGGACCCATGTGTGCTCTTTAAAACTTGAGGACCCTGAAGACCTTTTATGTATATAGGTTATATCTACCAAGTGTATTGTATTCCAAATTAAAACTGGGGAATTTAGAAAATATTTCTGAAACAACCCCGTGAGCCAGCAACGGATAACACATTTTTGTGAAAAGTGACTTTTCCAGAATAGAAAAGATGTAGTGAGAAGGGTGCATATTCTTTGACATGCTTTTACATCTCTGTATTATCTAGTTTATTTTTTTTAATTAAAATTTTTTTAATGTTTATTTATTTTTGAAAGAGAGTGGGAGCAGGGGAGGGCCAGAGGGAGAGAGGGAGACACAAAATCCGAAGCCGGCTCCAGGGTCTGGGCCGTCAGCACAGCGCCGACGCGGGGCTTGAACCCATGAATGGCGAGATCGTGACCTGAGCTGAAGTCGGATGCTTAACTGACTGAGCCACCCAGGCACCCACATACTATCCAGTTTCAGAGATATTCTCCTATCCATCTCCGTTTGATCTCTTGTGATAAATTGTTTTGGTAGTTTTTGAAGAAAATCCAACTTTGGCCAGATATGTGGATGGAAAAGGGAAGAGTATTTCGATAGCTTGTTCAGTGGATATTCTTTGATAACTACACCAACACTTGACAAGTAGCAGTTCCTTAAAGCTGAGTTATGTAGAAACTGAAACAATATCCGTGAAGTTTTTGTACGTTGAAGTCCATTGTTTTCTTTTATGCCTTAACTGGATCTTTTACTTGTATGTGACTTTGTAACATCACCCATTGTTTTTTGGGGAAATACAGTTCATTGATTGATGTAGATCTTCAAATGTTGACAATTCCATTATATAGGATGAAAAGTTACATTTGTTAGTGTCACTACTGATTTCATCAGTAAAGTCTTTAGGTATTGGGAAGCTGTCAAGCTCACTGTAGTGGATACAGGTTTTCCCAAAATTCTAGTTTCCAAATGAAAGCCCCAAATTTCACTGGCAGCAAATTGTCAACAGTTTTCTTTGAAGTGACAGGCTCACCTTATTCATTTTTGAGAAGATGTCTGCCCAATATACCCAAATCTAAATGAGTAATGTCTCAATTTTTCTTTCAAGTAAAAGTGATATTCCATGATAAAAGCTCCTGGTTGATCCTATAAACCAAACAATTGTCATGTGAGACATTCAGTGTGCCGCAGAAATGAGTATTCCCCACTTTGCCACTCCCCAAATTGAAAAGTCATGTATTTAAGGGTTGTGATTAAATACAAATAAAAATCTTTACTGCTTCGTCGAGGACATGTTTTTTTAATGTTTATTTTTGAGAGACAGAGAGAGAGAGACAGAGAATGAGAATGAGAACGAGCGGGGGGAGGGGCAGAGAGCGAGGGAGACACAGATTCTGAAGCAGGCTCCAGGCTCTGAGCTGTCAGCACATACCCTGAAGCAGGGCTCGAACCACGGGCCATCAGATCATGCCCTCAACCATCAGATAATACCCTGAGCCAAAGTCAATCAACTGAGCCACCCAGGCGCCCCCATCAAGGACATTCTTGAGTGACACCAGCCTTTTGGTTTTTTTCTCCCTGAGTACACGGTGGTGAAGAACATGACTGCTAGCATAGCATGATTCATGCTGTTACCACAGTTTTACTCCAACATTAACACAATGAAAAAGGCAAATAATATCTTCGTGTTAGGTTATCTTAATATATCTTAGTGTTCTGAAAATAGTTTAGCTTGCAGACCCCATGGGGCACCTGGATGGCTCAGTCGGTTAAGTGTCCCACTCTTGATTTTGGCTCAGGTTATGATCTCTCCGTTCCGTGAGTTCGAGCCCCACGTCGCGCTCTGTGCTCATGGCACGGAACCTGCTTGGGATTCTCCCTCTTTCTACTCCTTCCACGATGGTGCACTCTCTCTCTCTCAAAATAAATAAACTTAGAAAAAACAAACAAACAAACAAACAAACCTTGCAGACGCCCTGAAAAAGTCTCCGGGAACCCCAAGGGTCCATGGACCATACTTTGAGAAGCACTGATCTAGGGAAAGGCAGACCAATTGTAGCTCTTTGAGACTGTAAGTCTTTGAACAGGTACAGAGGTACAACCTTTATGGCTGTACTGTAAAATATGTACTGTGTAAGAGTTAACTAATGCTTCTGTAGTGCTTCCCTGTGTGCCGGGCACTGTCTAAAGATGAGTGTGTGTGTGCGTGTGTGTGTGTGTGTGTGTGTGTGTGTGTGTATACCTACATATCTCCTTACTTTCATTGTCTCTTTTATGCCCACACTAACTGTATAAGGTGGATACTCTTATCCCGTTTTACCAGAAAAGGAACCAGAATAATGGAGAGCTTAAGTGACTTGCTCAAGCTACTATCAAAAGCCAGGCTGCAGAGACGAGTTGCTTTTCCTGGCCGCTCTCCCACCTCACCCTTCCCAGGGAGCAGGGTCTCCTCTGGAACAGAAGCTGGCTGGGGAGTGACTAACCCCCCGGAGGCCCTTAGCTGTTACACCCACCCTCTGGGGGAATGGGAGTGGGTGGGCACTCTCCTTAGGGAGAAGGTGCAGGACACCATCGCTGGGTCTCTGGGCACCTTGTCCTGACCCTGCCCTCTGCCCTCTGTCCTGGCAGGATGACGTCTCGGGAGCAGCTGGTACAGCAGGTGCTTCAGGAGCTGCAGGAGGCCGTGGAGTCCGAGGGCCTGGAGGGGCTCGTGGGTGCTGCTCTGGAGGCCAAGCAAGTCCTGTCGTCCTTCACCCTCCCCACCTGCCGAGAGGGGGGTTCCGGCCCCCAGGTGCTGGAGGTGGATTCCGTGGCCCTGAGCCTGTACCCGGAGGACGCTCCCCGGAACATGTTGCCGCTGGTGTGCAGAGGCGAGGGCAGCCTGCTGTTCGAGGCCGCCAGCGTGCTGCTGTGGGGCGATGCCGGCTTCAGCCTGGAGCTGCGGGCCCGCACAGTGGTGGAGATGCTGCTGCACCGGCATTACTACCTCCAGGGCATGATCGACTCCAAGGTGATGCTGCAAGCCGTGCGCTACTCCCTGCGCTCTGAGGAATCCCCCGAGATGACCAGCCTGCCATCCGCCACGCTGGAGGCCATCTTCGATGCGGATGTCAAGGCCACCTGCTTCCCCAACAGCTTCTCCAACGTGTGGCACTTGTACGCCCTCGCCTCCGTCCTGCGGCGCAACATCTACTCCATCTACCCCATGCGAAACCTCAAGATCCGGCCCTACTTTAACCGCGTCATCCGGCCCCGCCGCTGCGACCACGTGCCCGCCACGCTGCACATCATGTGGGCCGGCCAGCCCCTCACCAGCCACCTCTTCCGCCACCAGTACTTTGCCCCCGTGGTGGGGCTGGAGGAGGTGGAGGCCGAAAGTGACCCCGGCCTGCCCCCAGCGCCTCCAGCCCTGGCCCCGCTGCCGCCACCCGCCAAGACCCTGGCGCTGCTCAACCAGGAGCCCGGCCTCAGCTACTCCCACCTCTGTGAGCGCTATAGCGTCACCAAGAGCACCTTCTACCGCTGGCGGCGGCAGTCCCAGGAGCACCGGCAGAAGGTGGCCACGCGCTTCTCCGCCAAGCACTTCCTGCAGGACAGCTTCCACCGTGGGGGCGTTGTGCCGCTGCAGCAGTTCCTCCAGAGGTTCCCCGAGATCTCCCGCTCCACCTATTACGCCTGGAAGCAAGAGCTCCTGGGCTCTGGCACTTGCCAGGCCCTGGCCCCCAAGGAGGTGCAGGTGCTGGAGGAGCTGGAGAAGCTGCCGGACGAGCAGATCGCCAAGGGGCTGGGATGCTCGTCGCTGGCCGTGTCGAGCCCTGGCATGATCTTAATGCAGCGGGCCAAGTTGTACCTGGAGCACTGCATCTCCCTGAACACACTGGTACCCTATCGCTGCTTCAAACGCAGGTTCCCCGGCATCTCGCGGTCCACCTACTACAACTGGCGCCGGAAGGCCCTCCGAAGGAACCCCGGCTTCAAGCCGGCGCCGGCCCTCTCCACGGCCGGGGCTCCCCAGCCAGCGTCTGTTCCGGAGGAGGTCCTGCTCCCCTGGAAGGGTGAGGTGGGAGAGGGGCCGGGCCAAGCGACTGCGGGGGGACCGCCGGCCCCCCGTGAGCTCCTGCCCCCAAAGGTGCCCCTGTCCCGTTGGCAGAGGCGTCTGCGCAGGGCTGCCCGCAAGCAGGTGCTGAGCGGGCACCTCCCTTTCTGTCGCTTCCGCCTCCGCTACCCCAGCCTGTCGCCCTCTACCTTCTGGGTCTGGAAGAGTCTTGCCCGGAGTTGGCCCAGAAGCCTGTCCAAATTCCAGATGCAGGCCCCCAGCTTGGGCAAAGAAGGGATGGAAGCTGAGGAGAAGCAGGAGAAAGAAGCCCGCAGGGATGTGACCGCTGTGACGGCCCCTCCTGTGGGAGACCCCCCGCGGGTGGGGTCTTCTCCAGGAGAGGATCCAGGGAAAGCCCAGGGAGGGCCTTCCAGAGAGGGGGCCACCGCCCAGGGCCGGCCCCACAGCAGCCTCCCTGTGACCGAGGCGGCAGTGGGTGGCAGGGACGGCCAAGTGCTGGTGATGGACATGCTCGCCACCACAAAGTTCAAGGCCCAGGCCAAGCTGTTCTTGCAGAAACGCTTCCAGTCTAAGAGTTTCCCCTCCTTCAAGGAGTTCAGCGCCCTCTTTCCCCTCACTGCCCGCTCTACCTACTATATGTGGAAGCGGGCACTCTATGATGGCCTCACGCTGGTTGATGGCTGACAAGGAGGTGTGAAGGGGGCTGGGAGGAGAGGGGACCCGTTTGCAGAGGGTCAGGGACCTAAGTTGACGCCTGGCTTGGCCAGGATGCCTTTTGCTCTGGCTCCCACAGTGTCTGCCTTGACTCCAAGGGCAGCTTTGCGTTGTTTCTTGGCTCTCTGGCAGACAGAGCCCGAAATCAGCCCTCTGGTCTTCTGTGGAGAGCTACAAGACCAGAAACGTTCTCCATTTCAGTTGTTTGCCATTCTTGCTTTTTATTGTTGTCTTGGTTTTAGTTTGTTTTTGTTTTGATTTAAGTGGATTGGCTGGGCCCCCTGGCTGGTGTTGGAAACTGTATGTTTGGGGTGGGGGTTTGGTTAGCTAAAGTTGCTTTCAGCTCTTCCTGGGGACGGAAGAAGTATTGTAACATGGCGATCTGTCCCATTAACCAGAATGTAGGTCTTCAGTTTCTTTTGGGGGTTGGCACCCTCCTTACTCAAAGCTGTTTCCCAAAGGAACATTAGAAATCAAACGTGGAGCAGGTCAGTGGCTTCTCTCTGGTGCCCCCAAAGTAGAGGGTGCCGGGCTCAGCATGAGACGTGAGGGCATACAGGAAGAACCTCTAGGGGAAGGCCCTGAACTGGATCACGGAGGTGCTGGCCTGTCCCTTGCAAGGAGTGTGGTAAGGGGCTGGGGGAGATGGCTTCGAGTCTCTGCTGGTGCTTGGCCCGTCTGCTGTGGACGCTTCAGTCCTCTGCCAGCCTGGTTGGCTCTTGGGGACCCTTGTCTTTCTGTCGAGTCCCTCCTCAGAGCCTGTGCCCCATCAGTGAGAGACCATACGGTGGCCAGGCAGGCGAGTAACTGAATTTGCATTGTCCAAGAGTCGAGTTGGAAAACCAAAGAAATAAAGTGATGTGGTGCCCATAGCCCTTGGTCTCTGGTATTTGTTTTGCCAGGATGTGACTGCTTATTCCCACATTCCCTTTGGTTGGCGGATGGAGGGGATTACTCTGGGGATTCTGTTTAGAATCGGATCTAGAGGTGACCTTGGGTGCTCTTCAGCTGGGGGTGGGGCCTGGAAAGATACTCCTACCCATGGGGGAAAAACTGGCCCACTAAGTGCCCCGGCAGCCAGCACAAGGGTCAAGTCAGGTCTGTGTCAGGCATTCTCTTTAGTGCTTGTCATGTACCCAGGCTCGGGTCAGGACACCTCGAGCCTCAGAGTGGCTAACTTTGCTAACCCCCTGCAGCGGGCTGACCTTGAAGGCCAGACCTCAGCTTGTTAGGATGTGGCATCAGTGGCTGCTTTCCTCATGGTCTTGGGGAGTCATTCTTGGTTCTGTTTTTTTCACCCCCACATCCAGTCTATCAGCTGGTCTTGTTGACTGACTCCCAGCTGTGCCCAGAACCCTCCCCCTCGTGCTGCTGCCACATCCCCCCTCCTCTCCGTCTCCCTTCTGCTCTTGCCCCATACAATCCATGCTCGATAGAGCAGCCAGAGAGCGCTTAAAGTGAAACTGTATTCTTTCACTTTCCTAAGATGTATCCACGGCTTCCCTTCACTCTTAGAATTCCTTGCACAGCCTGACAAAAAGCCTTCGTAATCCAGCCCCTGGCTAGCTCTCCCTGCCTCTTGTCCCACTCTTGCCCTCACGCCCTCACCCGCCACCCTCCAGCCACACTGGCTGCCTCAGGTCTTGAACAAGCTACACTTGGTTTAAGGGCCTTCCCATTTGTTCCATTGGAACATCTTTACATGGCAGGCTCCTTACTATTCAGGTTTGAGTCACTGTGCACTATTCTTTTAAATTCTCTGCTGCTTATGATGATATTTCTTGTTTATTTGGTTATTTGAGTACCCCACCCCCCATGCCATTAGAGTATAAGCTCCATGTAAAGCAGGGCTTTTTCCTGACTTGCTTACACACTGTATTCCCAGCAGGAAGATTAGTTCTTGGCACATAGTAGGTGCTACAATCTGTTTAAAGACGCAATGAGGGGCGCCTGGGTGGTTCAGTCGGTTAAACATCAGACCCTTGGTTTTGGCTCAGGTACTAATCTCACGGTTCGTGAGATTGAGCTCTGCGTTGGGCTCTGCACTGACAGTGTGGAGCCTGCTTGGGATTCTCTCTGTCTCTCTCAAATTTAAAGAAACATGGTGGGGGGGGGATGAATGAAATGGGGACACTATGCTTTTCCTGCTGTTGTCCTTTGGGATTGGTACTCAAATGTAATCAATCCTACTTCCTAAGTATCTCTCATTGGCCATTGTTTTCCATCCTACAGCAACCCCATAATCTAGGTCAGTGGGTGCTGTCATCTCTGATGCTGACTACCTGCATTCAAACTATCCCATTCCATCCTGACCAATGTGGGAATGATCTTGCTAAATCTGGCCTGCGATGGCCACCTATAGCCAGCAGGTGGCGATCTGGTGCAGCAAGAGGCAAGTCTCTGGGTTCCTAGTAGGTACAACCCTGTCTGGCTGTTTCCAACCTCAGCCTAACTCCTCTTACTGCCTTAGCTGTCAGAGGGTGGTACCAACCTCCCTCCTGAGAAGTGACCTGGTTGGGGCTCTAGATTCTGTTTGTCCTTTCCATGAGCTCTCAGAACCAGAGCAGATCTGATGTCCCCAGCAGTATCTCAAAGGGGTCTAAAAACCACCTGGATCTCAGTACCTGGGGGAGCTTATTAGGAATGTGGATTCCAGGGCCCCACCCAGATCCAATGATGGTCTTAGACATTGAAGAGGCAGCATATGCACATGGGTGAGTTAAACCTTGTACTTCACTTTCTCCATCTGTGAAATGGGGTTTACATAGTAAGCACCAGATGAGCATTTGCTGTTAGTAACAATGATACCCAGTTTGAGAGCCCCTGGGAAGCTAATGTCCAGGGAGATTCTTGCTCAGGATTGCCCTGTAAATTAAAGATCCTCCATCCCCCAAACCGAAAGGTCCTTTTGTTCAAGGCCAGCTCTTCTGAGTCCCAAACCCACAGGGAGATACTTTAGCTTCTGTTGGGAACAAAAATAAGATTAAAAAAAAAAAAGATATGTCAGTATTTATTGATTTGGAAAATATTAGTATGGTTAAATTATTCTGGTGTAGAAAAACCATTTCCTTTGTAATTGCTTAGAAAGGCAGATTATACCTAAACAGTGACTGTGTTTGCTAAGAATACTTTATGCTGATTGCAAAGTTGACGTTTGTTGAAATTATTTGTATGTTTCTGCACCGCTTCCTCAAATGCAGATGTAGAAAGAAATTCCAGTGAAATGAACAATGTGAATAAAGGAAGAAAACAGAATACGTGAGGCTGGCTCTATAGCTTACAACATTCTGTGCCATTGTAGACTAATGGTTGGTTCTGCAAAATTTGAACATAAAAGCTTCACCCTGAAAATCAATCAGCTGTGAATAAGTAAAAATAAATTTATGTATTTATCCCCTGGGGGCAGGCGTCCTATATTTTGGTGGAGATTATCTTGTCTACCTTGATGCATGAGGTGGCTCCTCAAGTATTTTTCTGGAGGCCAGCACCCAGACCTTTGGGAGGCTCTTGGGCCCCGAGCAACCAACTCATACCTCACTTGCCCCTCCTGAATGTTCCACCAGCACCTTGGTCTCGCCAACTGCCAGTCTGGGCTCATTCCCCACCAACCTGCTCTTCTCTGAGTAGTTTTTAGATGCTGGTTGCTGCCAGCATCGGGTTAGCAGTTGAACTGGCCAGAAAGCTGGGCATAATCCTATAGTTTTCTCTCCCACATCCATCTTGGCAGGGCTCTCGGAACATTGCAGGCTTCACGTGGTTCCGCACTGCTAGATTAGCTCAGGGAAGAGAATTGGACTGGTCCAGGCTGCCCTCCTCCGTTCCTAGTAGGAATGAGCAGAGCTCTGGTGCCAGGTCACGTCTGAGGCCACTCACCACCCAAGTCTGGTCCAGTTGTCTGGCTGCGGTGCTAGAATAGACTTGCTCACACAGGGTCTGGCAGATATGATAGGCTCCTGTCCAGCAACCCATGACAGGCTGAGCCCTGTGCTGTGAGCTGAGGGTACAGAGCCATTTGGCCTCAACTCTTGTCCTCACAAAGGCCTCCGTTTACTGGCAGCAATATGATAGAAGCTTCCATATGGAATGCACAACAAAGTGCGGTGGGTTCACAAGGAGGCACATGCCTGGCTTTGGCATCTCGTAGCTTCTCCTGATCCCCCCCCCCACCCACCCCGCCGCCAACTTGTAGCTTCCCAGAGCCAGCTTTTCTCAGAAATACTAGCTGCCTGGGGGGTCTCTGGGAAATGCCTGGATTGCTCCTCAGATGACCTTAGTCTTTGGTTGTAAAGCACTTGTCCCAGTGTGATGGCTGTCACGGGAGGATGAGGGACAGGTGTCCTGACAAGGAAGTTAATAGGATGGAGACAGCAGGCTGAGAGGCCAAGCTCAGGAGGGCGTGCAGCGGGGACCTGCTCCAGCCTTCGGTGCTGTCTGCCCTTCTCACTGGCCTGACTTCCAACAGGGAGGTTTCAGTGTGATTTCACCTTCCCAACCTTGGCTAGTGATACACGAGGACACCTGTGGAGTATCACTAGCAGGTTCCGAAACGTTCCCATTACTGGTTTATCTCATGGAAGAGGAGGAGGAAGCTTTCAGGGAGATGAGAAGAGCAGCAGAAAGTAGGTTTAATAGTAGGAAAAAATTTCCATGGAAAATGACTTTGAAAATAGCATGAAATCCGCTTACCTCTAGCGGCTCTTCTCTGCCAAGCAGAAAGAGCTGGAAGGGGGCAGGCAGACCTGACAGGAGGGCAGGCAGCTGCTCACATATCACCTGCCTGAGGAGACCAGGGGACAGTGGAGGGCAGATGGGCTGCGGCGGATCCTCCTCGGGGCCTCACCTATTCCAGACTTCGGCCCCCACGGTGCAGGCTGGTGGGAGGTATTTGGAGGGAGAGCACCTGAGAAGCTTTGCTCAGAAGGGGTGCCAGTGCAGTTTGGTGACTTTTGCATGTTGCCAGCCACGCTCAG